AAGTGGGGAGGGGAAGGTCAGTAGGAAGGTAGCCCCACCTCCAAAACTGGGGGAGAGTTCTTGTCCCAATTGCTTGGCTACCAGAATCCAATAGATTGACATCACAGCTACTGAACTTTAACAAAAAGCCAGAAAGGAAAAAAAAGGGAAGTTGGGTGTCATTTAAAGTAAGCAAGCAGCAACCTGAAACCTACCCTTCCAGTGAGAGACACACACACCAACACACACACCCTTCCATGGGCAATCCCAAAGTTCATCCCAGCCAACCAACAAATGAAACATTTAATTAATTAAACGTTTAATTTAAGTTCATCAAAGGGGTGTGCATGTTGATGTGAGTGTCTCGCTGGAAAAGTACGTAAAAGATCCAAGTAACAAGAATAGTACATTTCAGCCACTCTCTTCATCTCCCACCCTGCATTACCCAAATGCTGCTGGCAAATCTTTTCTTCTCCACTATCCAAGCACTGCTGGCAAAACCTCTGTCAACCCTCTCCCCATGCTATCATACCACTGCTGGAATAGCATCTCTCGGTTACCTTCTGATCGCCATCCAAATGGTGCTGGTGAAAGTGACACTGCAGCCCCACCAGTCCCCGCTATACTAGCACTGCTCCTGACAACATCCCATATCTCTTACTGTTAGGTATGTGCCAAAAGTGTGCCAGAAGCTAGATGCTCCAGAGGCACATTTAATCATCTACAGGGGGAATTGGTTGTGAAGACTTGGGTTGCAATGCATTGGCCACGATTAGGCAAACTTGGAAAAGCAACTGAGAAGTTGTGGTGGTAGTATAAAAAAAGAGTTGTGGTAGCGTCAGCCATGCTGGGAAATCCAAGGTGAAATTGGCAGGGTCCATTGGCAGTCCACTGGCAGGGTCCTTTATTTGTGCCCATCTCGCAATTTGATGGGACACTGAGTATCTTATAGTAAGATAAAATACACAAATGTCCAAACAATTATAAATAAGAACAGAGATTAAAATTAGAAAAATTAAAACAACCTAAAAACATAAGCTTGAAGGTGAGGGGGTAGGGACCCTCTTTGTTAATGCACCAACTACCTCCAGCCAACAGCTTCTCCCTCATAACCCATGCCAGCCAACATAGTCTGGTTTTTTCTGAAGGCTAAAAGAGTGGACACCAACTAAGAAGTTCCAAAGGGCAAAAGTCATGTGAAAAAATGTTCTTCTCCTGGATCATATCAGCCAAAATTCCTTGGCTGATGGGATCTGCAGTAGGCCTTTTCCACTAGCATGAGTTGAGCGGGCAGATCCCATGGCAGAAAGACAGTTCCATAGGAATCCGGGAGCCATGCCATAAAGGACTTTAAAGATAGTAATCAATACCTTGAATTGCATCTGCAAGCACATTGGCAGCCAATGCAGCTCACAAAATAGTTACACAAGCCATTCAAAACTGCCTCTGCTCTGCTTTTTGACCAGTCATACCTTCCAAATACACTTCAAGACAGTGGTGGGATTCAATTTTTTTTACTACTCGTTCTGTGGGCATGGCTTGGTGGGCGTGGCAAGGGAAGGATACTGTAAAATCTTCAGTCAGAGATGGTATTTGCCAGTTCTCTGAACTACTCAGCATTTCCGCTACCGGTTCTCCAGAACTGGTCAGAACCTGCTGAATACCACCTCTGCTTCAAGAATGGCCCGAGTACAGCACGTTGCAATAATCCAAGCAGGAAAGGATCAAGGTGTAAGTGACTGAGTGCAGGATCTCAACATCCAGAAAAATATATAATCGGTGCAAAACACAAAGATGTGCAAAGGCTCTCTTAGCTATCATTGCCTCTGTCATGGGGTCTACAGTCTTAAACACTCAAAGAACCATTTGGACCTGTTTCCCACAGAAAACAACGGAAGCCACAAAACTTGGGTGGGTGTGGCCAACTCAATATCACTCTCACCCAATCACATGACCTCCCCCAGCCATGCCTATTCAGGTTTCATGGCTGTTTTCTGTGGGAAATGAGTCTCTCTCTCTCTCTCTCTCTCTCTGTCCCTCCCTCCCATTTCTGTTTTTCTCTTTTTCCTCTCCCTTCCTTCCTTCCTTCCTTCCTTCCTTCCTTCCTTCCTTCCTTCCTTCCTTCCTTCCTTCCTTCCTTCCTCTTTGTTTCTCTCCTTCCTTTCCTTTCCTTTCCTTTCCCTTTTACTTTCTTTCTCATTTAATACAATAGTAAATCCAAAATAAATTTATTAATTGTGGGAAACTGCTTCTCTGTAATCTTTTCATAGTGAACTCTTAAGTTGATAGAAATTGGCAAAATTGTACTAACAGCAATAGCACATATATTTTGATTTCTTCTGAGTTTGACAATATAATACATTATCCAAAATTATAAATAATCTTATTTTCAGATGCATTTTTGCCATCTCTGTTATTTCCTCAAAAATAAAAATCAGGCTTGCTTCCAATTTGTGCATTCTGGCAAACTGCAGTTTTCTTGGCAAGACATCAAGCTTGCCATTGCTTTCGTCATAGGTCTGAAAGAGTTCTTTCCTTCTTTTTCTTTCTTTCTCTTCCTTCCTTCCTTCCTTCCTTCCTTCCTT